GGAGACTCCCCACCCTAAAAGGTGTATGGCCAGCCTTCAAACAGCCATCAGCTCCTTACCCAGGCTGGCCAGGCACTCCAGTGGGGAGCCCCACCCTGATCCGGGACAGCCTTCAGGGCAAACCAGCCGGCCCCCCACTATGCACCAGCCCTGGGGGCAAGCGGACATCCCCCGAGTGTTCCTGGGCTACCAGAGGGATGTCTGATTGCCAGCTTAGGCCCAATCCTCCCGGAGAGCAGGCCTAAGTCAGCAGGTGGTCATCCCTCAAGCGGTCCCAGACCTCAAGAGGGCACAGGCCGGGCTGAGGGATCCTCCGAGTGCACAAATTTTTTGTGCACCTGGCCTCTGGTATATATTTAAAGGCTAAGTGACCATCTGACCAGTAGGTATGATGCACAATGACCACCAGGGGGCAGACACACAGCTCAACACAGAGGTACTGAGCTGCAGTGACTTGGCAGAAGCGGTTCTTGGGTTAACAAAGAGGAGGGAGCCTTATTCCAGGTTTCGTCACTTGAGAACCATCCTCTTGCAATCTGTGACCCCTTGAGGGATGTCTGACTGTCATGTTCAGCCCAATCCCCACAAACTAGGTCAGGGGTGGGCAAACTTTTTGACTCGAGGGCCACAATGGGTTCTTAAACTGGACCAAGGGCCAGAACAAAAGCATGGATGGAGTGTTTGTGTGAACTAATATAAATTCAAAGTAAACATCATTACATAAAAGGGTACGGTCTTTTTTTTTTTTTCTTTAGTTTTATTCATTTCAAACAGGCCTGATCCGGCCCCCGGACCCTAGTTTGCCCACGGCTGGGCTAGGCCAACAGACCCCACCTGCCGGAGGGACCATGCTCACTCAATAGATGCCCTTCAAGTTGCAGTGGTGCCCAAGATGCAGCCAGCCAGGGAGGGACCACAAGAGGTTGGCTCCAGGGCATCTGGTCCATCTCGTCCAGTCCGACCCCACCATTCACCTTCTAATTAATTTCCATTCAATGTGAATTAATCTGTGCACCGGGGCACTAGTACATTTATATTATAATTTTGAAACTACACTTGTTCTCAAATCTTTGTGACAATATGGAGGACAAGCTGCTCAGATAGTCATCCCACAAACATCAGAAACCAAGGACCATCCTATTCTACTGTTACCATTTAATAAAAACATGTGACCCAGACCCCATCTGAGTCTTGTTCTCCAAAGTCTCCACTTTCACTTCTTGAGAGCATACTATTGCTTTAATAAATTTACTGAGATTTGTTAAATCTTTCTCTCACACTCGCAAACCCTTTCTTGGATGATGACAAGAACCTGAGTCCCGGTATTGGGTTGAGAACTCTGTTTGCCTCACTAGTGCCCCTGGCATCAGTACTACACTTCTATAAAGTGTTCAAGATGGGGAAAAACCATGGGTAATGGAAGTTTTGGGAATTTTTTATAATATCTGCTAAATTTTCAATAAGCCTAAAATATGCTCTAAAATGTAGTCTAGTGATCAATAAGTCTTTAAAAAGAAGTTATTCAAGAACGTGTACATCAAAACCGTTAATATTTCCAATTTACCCTCAAGATAAATTATGGCCATTCTTTAGGTTCACATTTCACCCTCTATTTATAAATTACACTCTAACCACATTTTACCTGTCTTTTCCTGTTTCTAATTCTCTCAATTTTCTAAGACTTTAATATATTCATTTTTCCTAAGCCACTTTCCCACACTAGTGCAGGTTTTTTATATATATACACAGGTATATCCTATTTAATAGAAGGTTAATATGCAAATAGACCAAACAACGGAACAGGCTGCTATGACTTGGGCTGACCACCAGGGGGTTTGTGCGGAATAGAGCAGGCGTTGGCTGCAGTGGGATGGTGGAGCAGGTGAGTGGGGGTGCTACACCAATGCGGGGCACCGGTTTCTGTCATTGGGACGAGCCTCTGGTGGTTACTGAAAATTCTTTGCTCCCGTGCGCGGCGGTCCCACCTGGCGCTTGTCCCTGCTGCTGGCGCAAGAGCTGCTGCTCTCACCCACTGCCAGCAACGGCTCTGCTTGCACCCATGGCCAGTGTCACTACTCACACCTGTTGCCTGGCACCAGTCCCAATCATTTGGTGCCATCAGTGGGAGCAAGTGGTGGCTGCCGGCCCTGATCACCCCGGAGGGCTTCTCCACCTCCCCTGCTCCTGAGAGGAGATCAGGACAGCAGCCACAACTCACACCTGCTGATGGCACTGGCCCTGCTCAGACCCACTGCTGGCACCAAAGCCGCCACTCACACCCGCAGCCAGCACTAGAGCCTCTACTCGCACCCGATACCGGCGCCCAGCATTGCTCTGAGCCATCAGCAGGTGCAAGTGGCAGCTGCTGGCCCCGATCAGCTCTGAGTGCTTCACCTCCCCCTGCTCCTATTGGGTGATCAGGGCAGCAGCTGCTGCTCACACCTGCTGACAGCATGGAGCAATTGGGGCCGTCATCATGTGTGAATGGCACAACAGGAGTGAGGCTGCCGGTAGATGGGGGTCTTGGGGCCATCGCAGAAGGGGCCGGGCAGGGGCATGGAGGAGGGGCTAAGACCTGCCCCTGTGCCCACTGCAGCCTCGCGGCCCACAGTTCCTTTCAAGGTGCACAAATTTGTGTACTGGGACCCTAGCATAATATCATTTAGGCAGCATGGACCCATTGACTGTCTGCTTTGCAGGTTATATTTTAATGTAATTTATTGTTAAGTAACATTTTAGTAGTCTTTTTTTCTCTCATTAAAATAAATGCTTATCCAGGGCCAATTTCACTCCCTGGTTAGAATGTTGGCCCTTGGTCCAAAGGACTGTGGGTTTGATTCCTGGTCAAGGGCACAGAGATTGTGGATTTCCCTGTCCTGGTCAGGGATGTGCAGAAGACAACCAATTGATGTGTCTCTCTCACTCTCGCTTCCCTTTCTTTCTTCCTTCTACTCTCTCTTTAGAAAGAAATCAATGGAAAAAATATCCTCTTATGAGGATAAAAAAAAATGTTAATACAAGGCATAATACTGGTCTTATTCAGGGAGTGTTTATAGATAGTAATTGCAAATAAAGAAAACATGGGCCTGGCCTGATGCATGAGTTGGTTGTAGGACTGTACTATACACCCAAAGGTTGTAGATTCAATCAATTCCTGGTCAGAGAATACAGGCAGTCCTCGGGTTATGCTGGACTTAACATATGTCATTTAGTGGTAATATCACCATCTCCCATTTATTTATTAAAAAAAAATAAAATTCCATCATATCGACATATGTACATATGTGCTTTGTCTTTTATTATTTAGTTGCCACAAGTAAAGGTCAGGAATTGTTATCTTTCTTTTAAATTTTTTTTTACTGTTTCACTTCATTACTGCTGTGTATGTGCTCCATGTGCATAACTATGTAGGTGCTTCTGTAGGTAGGTGGGTTCCAAGTTATGGCGAAAATCACGTTACATCACGCCATACGAATGGATCTCTAATGTAACTTGAGGACCTATTGTATATTTAGGTTGTAGGTTCAATCTATGGTCTAGGTGTGTATGGGAGGGAACCAATCGATGTTTCTCTCTTTCTGTTTAACCCCCTTCCCCTATCTAAAATCAATAAACATATTCTCACATGGGCTTAAAAAAACAAAACAAAAATACATGGTCCTCATGACTTAATTATTAATAATATTTCGGAGAACTGTAAGGTTATTGGTATTTATCTCTTCTGTTTCTTTATTCCATTCTACCCAACATAATTTTTATTATATAACTGAATGTAACGTACAAAGACTGAATTAACTTTATAGCAGCGGTCATCTCCCACTGGTGGTCTGTGAGGTCCAAAAGTTTGGCGACTGCTGTAGTATAGAAGTAATAATACCATAAAACTTAAAATTCTCATATAATTATGAATTAAAAATGTTTTTAAAAATAATATTCCTTACATACTTACTTCTTCTTAAAATATACAAAAGCCAAAAAATGAGATGAGCATGTAAGAGCAAACAAAACAGCTAATCTTTATTTTTTTTTTAAACCTGAATAGAGTTATATAGCTGTTTTCTCCATGGTTCTTCTGTGCTGCTGCTCAGGTTTATGCAGTTATAAGGTAGAGTGAGTGTGTTCTGCTGTAGGTAAGGAACATTTCCATTACTTCCACTTCCTGTTACATAATTATTGTCTACCAAAATAGTGTCTGCACTCCCTAGTGTTTTTGGTGTGCCGCAAGGAGCACAGCCTGCAGAAAAAGGTCCATTGGACAAAGGTTTTTCAAAACAAGCAGAGTAAACTTCAAGCTGAGAGACGCTACATACTATCAGCAGAGAATATGGTTGCTGGAGACAGAATTTGCAGGCACAGATGAATCAGTTATTAGCAAATAAGGAAATCCAGTAGTTTGTCTCAAGTTCAAAAACAAAAAATAAAAACTGCTTTGTGTGACTCTGAGAATATGTTATCAATACATATCTTACTTAGTATAACATTAAATCTCTAGATTAAAAAACATACATTTTAAAAATGACACCTAATGTTCATATGGGTAAAGTAGAAGTCTTTTTAATTCTTTAAAGAAAACTGTATTAATGGTATGAGGTCAAAAAAAGCACTTGAAAATTAAAAAGGCAGTATACAGATCTTATTTTCCATCATTAGAGTGGACTTAAAATTTCCATTCGATTACATGTTTGCCAAATCTTTGCTATCAAACGATCCTTAAAATAGCTCCACCTCAGTCTGGGTAATTGTTTATTATAAAATACTAAAAATAAGTCTACAGAACGTGCCTGAAACGTTATGCAAATAAAGAGCAAAATACCAGTGTTTTGTTCTAAATTTATTTATGTCTATTTAAAAGAAAAATCTGTTTATTAGTATTGAAATTCAGATATATAAATTCTATTGAATATATGTAGAAAGTTGAGCATTAAAAATACTCTAAATAATATTTTAGTCCAGAAAAACAATTAACATAACAAATACTGGAATAAAAATGGTATACATACTTGTTGCATTGAAACAAAATGATTTTCCAACTGTTCCAGAATCAGCTTCTGTGCTGGATTTAAATTATCTTTATTTGCATGTAGTTGTTCCAAGGACTAATAAAATGAAAAAGAATACAAAGAATCTAAGAAATAAGACACTCTCAAGTAACCTCTCACTGAAAAGACTATAAACTCAGAACCTTTGTGTGATCAATAATGATTTCTAAACAAAACTAATTAATGCAAAGATTGTTCTTTGAGGAAAATGGTAAAAACCATAAATTCATCTAAAGAAGGTTATTTATGTGTTTTAAGTTAAATATATTTTGCAGAGAAGAAATTACAATCTTTTTGTTATTGTTATTAATCCTCACCTGAGGACATTTCCTCATTGATTCTTAGAGAGTGGAAGGAAAGGGAAGAGACAGAGACACACTGATTGACTGCCTTCTGCGCACACTCCAAGCCTGTAACCTAGTATAACCTTGACCAGAAATGAACCCAGGATCCTTCATTCCATGGGTCAGTGCTCTATCCAGTAAGCCAAATTGGCTAGAGCAAGAAATTACAATCTTAATAAAGCTATTTAACCTTATAATGTACTAGAGGCCCGATGCATAAAATTCTTGCACTGGGGGTGGCCCTTGGGGGATATCTGACTGCTGCGGAGGCAGGAGATGCTCCCGCCACAGCAGCTACACTCGCCAGCAGTGAGCCGGCTTCTGGCGCACTGACCATCAGGGGGCAGCTCCTGCATTGAGAGTCTGCCCCTTGGTAGTCAGTCGATACCATAGTGGCCAGTTATTTGGCCATTCAGTTGATTTGCACATTAGCCTTTTATTATATAGTTTTATAATAAAGCAGTTTAAAAGCAACATTATTTGTAGAAGAAATATTGTAAACGACCAAAAGTGCAAAAATAGGAATCTCGTTAAATCAACAGCAGTTTACATGGAGGAAAAAAGTAATATTATCTATACTAATAAAAGGGTAATATGCTAATTAGACTGGATGTCTTCAGAAAGACCTTATGGATGTCCTTCCTGACAAACCCAGCCCGGGAGAAGCTGCCTGCCCCCAGTCCCAAGAGCTTTCGACTGCGGCCCAGGTGAAGCTGCCCCACCCCCGGAACTGGCATCTGCGAAGCTGCCCTGACCTGGTCCCAGGCACCTGTGGCTGAGGCCCTGGGCTGGAGAGTTCCATGAGAACAGGGTCTGGCAGGACCACAAGTTCTATAATAGGCAGCCCTCACTTTAAGAAATTAATTCATCAGGCGGTTGGGAAGCTAGCCCAGGTCCCAGGTGCCTGCAGCCAGCCAGAAGGAGGAAAGCCCAGGTCCCAGGTACAGGACGAAGGCAGAGGTGGTTGGGGCAATCAGGAGAGCAGAGGAGCAGTTAGAGGCGATCAGGCCAGCAGGGGAGCGGTTAGGGTGATCAGGCAGGCACGCAGAGGTGGTTCCGGGCGATTAGGCAGGCAGGCAAGTCATTAACAACCAGCAGTTCCAGATTGTGAGAGGTATGTCCAACTGCAGGTTTTGGCCCTGTGGGATCGGGCCTAAACCAGCAGTCAGACATCCCCCAAGGGGTACCAGATCGGAGAGGGTGCAGGCAAGGCTGAGGGACACTCCCGTGCACGAATTTGTGTACCAAGCCTCTATCCTATATAATAAAAGGCTAATATGCAAATTGACCCACCAAGACTTTGATCAATAGGGAGTTTGATTGCTCACTATGACATGCGCTGACCATCACGGGGTGACGGGGAAGGAGGCCCCACCCGGCTGTGATTGCCAGCCAGGCCTAGGGACCCTACCCGTGCTTGAATTTTATGCACTGGTACTCTAGCTATAAAAGAACAAGAAAGTAGTAAGATATACAAAAAAAGATCTGGAAGATACATAGATCTTTCAAAGTCATGAATACTAATATACCTAACATTCTACCTACATTTACTGTACAACAAAGGTAGGAAAGGATCTATAACATAAGCGTTTTTTCTTGTACATGTACAATATTATCTCTAAAAATAAAAACACAAAAGAAGTTATTTACATTGATTATTGGAAGGAAAGGGATATTAAGTGTCTAAAGGCAGGAACTGTAAGGAGCCTTTAAGTGGTATACCCATCTTCTATTAATTTTCACATTTCAAACACATGAGTGGATTAATTCATTAAAAGAATTTTTAAAAACCCACAAAATTATGAACTCTGCAGGTGTTTGGTTTTGTTTGTTTTTTTTGGGGGGGAGGGGGGACTTGCCCTGAAAAATGTGGGTTCATTATACTTACTGCCACTTAAAATGGAATGGCTATATTAGTATCTAAAAATATCTGAAAGGATTCCTACTACTATTTTAATATAGGGCAAAAACTATTGATAGAATATTTCATATCTATAATTTCTGTAATTGTAAATACCATGCATTAGTCTGTTGCTATATTAGTCAGTTAATTCTGAAAAATATATGGTTGAATTCAAACTCTAACTGTAATGAGTATTGAGAAATCATAAGACTAAGAACTGGAGAATTTTTATACATAGGACTTGTTTTAAAATCATTTAAAAATAATTTTAAGTGAATAATCAAATTAGAAACCTATGAATTTAACTTAGTCCACCTTAAAAAGTCTCTACTAAATAATGGTTGGAAAAACTAACATGGTGTTTCATTATCTACAAAATTTAATGTATTACAATGTTAGCAGAATATGGTGGAAAAATGAGTATTAATTTTGTAAAAGCAGGAAAATGAGTAAAATGATTTGATGAACATAAAGCTATAGCTCTTGTATTTAAATAATACTACAACTTCATGTCAGAATATACTGCCAATAACTGAAGAACTTTTCACCCTTGTATACAAGTTTAAAATATAAGACAAGTAACTCTTCAGAACACTTTAAAAACTTCATTTTTAAAAAAATTCATTGATTTTAGAGAAGAGGATGAGCAGGGAGAGGGAGAAGAAAAGGAAGATGGAGATGGAGAGGGAGAGAGAAACATCTATTTGTTCCACTTATTTAAGCATTCATTGATTGATTCCTGTATTTGCCAGACCAGAGGTCAAACCAGAAATCTTACCATATTGGGACAACGCTCTAACCAACTGAGTTACCTGACCAGGGCAAAAGCTTCATTTTTGATTGGGAATTTTCATTTCTCTAAAATTTACATATACCTTTACTGGACTAGATGTTCTTTTCTTCTTGACAGGACTGGACAGGCCATCAACTTGGCTAGAAGGAATCATTTGTACTGGCAAGGGTTGCTGTAAAATTGGTGTTTGACTGAGGCCTAATACAGGTTCAGTTTTTGGATGATGAGTTTTAGAAGCCTAAGGATTACAGAAGACAAAAATATGGTTCTACATATTCATAATTCATTCCTTCCAATTATAAAACTTTTTTTAGCTACATTATTTCTAAAACTATGTGAACACCATGTAATAAAATTAGTGAAAAACAAACTCAAATGAATCATCAATGGAGAATGGTGTACCTTCTATGGAAAAAGTTTTTGTTTTTGTTTTTCATTTAAACAAATCAGTATGAGAGTCCCTTAAGAAATCCCTTCCAAAAGCATGAGAAACTTTAAGGTTTTAAAAGGTTATGTTAAGATTCCTCCCATATCAGAGGAAGTCATTATTTTTATCTCAAATCCCTTTCCAGTTAAATTTGAAAGAGTTTTTCAAAATGCCAATCCTACTCTTAGTTATGTAAATTTGATCACCACAGACTGGAAAGAACCCTTAAAGCTGGGTACCTACAGAACATAACCCAACTTCTCACCTGCTGTGCTGTGTTCATGGCACCCTGCCTGGAGGTAAGCTCTGCGGGGATTGGTAGGCTCCACGCCTCCTCAATACTAGGAAGTAATTTAGTTTTATTCTGTAGACTACCTTGTGGAAGGTTACACAACTGAGCCTAGGAAAAATTATGTAAAAAGCAAATTTAACACAAGCCTACTTGAGTAAGAGCAAGTCCACTAAATTTTCCTAAATGCTATAACTAACTGTTTTTTAAAAAAGAAAATAGATTCTTAATTTGGGGTTTCAGAAAGATACTAAGTATAAAGAGGGTAACCGAAATATAAACCTTTGTGAGAATTAAAACAAAGCTGAGCTCTGTTTTTAGAGTTCTCATAGCTGTCTTCTCATGAAACTCCAAGCAAGAGTGAAAGACAGTGTTCGTGTTCTTTTCTCTAAAATGCTATGACAACTTAAAAATGTAGACAGCACATAGAAAAAATTATGTAAATTAATATGCATCAAAAGAGTATATGTGCAAAAGAGCATTTTTTAAAATACTGCATATCTTATTTAAAATGAAAAGTAAAATAATATTATAAGCTATGGTATGTTTACAAAATATGGAAACAAATTATAGACATCAACACAACTAGACAAACTTTCCAGCCACCCTCCTCCTGCTTTAGTGTCATGGGGAAACGTGCCTTTAAAAAAAACTGCTACTAAAAATTTTACCTGTAAATACTTAATTCGTGCTGCAAGTGCAGAGGTATTACTACAACTTTTGCTTCTGGTTGCATTTAAGTAGCATTTAATGGCATCCTGAGGCTGGTTGCAGGATTCATAGAGTGTGCCTAGGTCCATCCAGGCTGCAGCATGGCCATGGTCCAATTGTACAGCACAAATATAGGCCTGTAAAGCATCCATAGGCTGATTTTGTTGCTGATATAGCACACTAGAAAAAGAAATTAAGAAAAAACAAGTCAACAAAAAAGAACTGCTTAGCTTCATAACATGATATAAACTGCAAAGTATATTATATGGGATACACCTATCTTTGTGTATCAATTACAATGCCATTATCTTTATGCAATGTCTTACCCTATTGAACACCATGTATCTGCACTTGCTTCTGATTTATCAATAGACTGCCTGTAAGATATAAAGGCATCCTGAACTTTCCCAATACTTGAATAGCACCTGAGAGGAAAGGGGGGGAAAGTAAAAAAATTTCCATTATTACAGATTAATTTGCTGAAAGGATGGACTATATGTCAAAGCAAATGAAAAACCTAATAAGCTAAAATATTTATGTCATTATGTATACGATAATTATAATGCATACTATAATTAACCCTTCAATAAACGATATTATAGTCTATCATAGATGCTAAAGCATGCTGCAGTAATGAACAGTATTGAAAAAATTAAAGGCCTTATCACTTCAATACTTACAATACTGAGAGTTGAAAACACACACACACACACCCCCCACTGTACTTATATAACTTTATCTCCAGTTTTCTATTCAGTAAGAACATAGAGTTAAAAAACAAGAAAAACATTCTCTGTTGGTAAGAATTGCTGAATCAGATTGCAATTCCACTTTCCTAAATAATAATGAGGGCAATAATTCTTTAGTTCATAAAAAATACAAACATAGTATCAAGCTAACTATCAAAAACAGTAAGAGTAGCAAAGTATGATTAAAGTTTCAAAGACCTGTCATTTTTAATTTTATTTTTATTGATTTCAGAGAGGAAGGGAGAGGGAAAGATGGAAACATCAATGATGAGAGAGAATCATTGATCAGCTGCCTCCTGCACATCCCCCACTGGGGATCAAGCCCACAAACCAGGCATGTGCACTGACTGGAATCAAACCCGGGACCCTTCAGTCCACAGGCTGACACTCTATCCACTGAGCCAAACCCAGCTAAGGCAAGACCTGTCATTTTTAATGCATATATACTCGATGGATACACAGAACAGCAGCTGACATCCTATCTAATAAAAGAGTAATATGCAAATTGACCATCACTCCAACACACAAGATGGCCTGCAGGGGAGGGCAGTTGGGGGGGGGGCGGGGAGCCCGCCCGAGGCAGGTGACGGTTGGGAGCCAGCAGTCCTGGATTGTGAGAGGGATGTCCCACCGGGCCTAAACGGGCAGTCGGACATCCCTCGAGGGGTCTCAGATTGGAGAGGGTGCAGGCTGGGCTGAAGGACACACACACACCCCACCCCCGCATGAATTTCGTGCACCGGGCCTCTAGTTATAAATAAAGAAGTTATCTTCGTAGTGTTTGGCACTAAGAAAAAACACAAGAATAAACCCAGTCATTGTCTTCAAGGAGCTTATAATTTAGTTGAGAATTAAAGACACAGTATAAATGCCACAATGCCATATTAAATAGCTAGCACAGTTAATAACCAGTTTAAGAAATTTAGGGTAGAATATACCACAGTATACACTAAAGGATTTGGGAAGTTATCTTCGTAGTGTTTGGCACTAAGAAAAAACACAAGAATAAACCCAGTCATTGTCTTCAAGGAGCTTATAATTTAGTTGAGAATTAAAGACACAGTATAAATGCCACAATGCCATATTAAATAGCTAGCACAGTTAATAACCAGTTTAAGAAATTTAGGGTAGAATATACCACAGTATACACTAAAGGATTTGGAAAGGCAAGAAAAGAAAAGGTCAGAGCAAGGGATCTGAACATGTGTACATGCATTATTGTTTAGATCAGTGATTTCCAATTACCAGCCAGTATATGGCAATTTAACAAGCAAACAAAATGGAAAAACAACATATACATGTATATATGTTTTCCGTTAAATTGACTCATATTTGTACTATAATTGACCCACTTTGAAATACTATTGGCTGAATAGCAAAACATTTTAAAATGTGTTTACTTGCCCAAATATCATGTTTTTTAATTGAAATTTTTTTGGTGACATCGATATATATAAAAGGCTAAGTGTCCGTCCAACTGGTAGCTATTACTTGCACTGACCACCGGGGGCAGAAGCTCAATGCAGGAGCTGACATGATGTGTACTGGCAGTTTAAAAAGAAACAGCACCATGGACCTGGCACCAACAAACCAACACTTGGCTTCCCCCAAGTGGGACACAGGCCCCGCCAAAATTGCAGCCAATGCTGCCAAGACCCCATGGTGCAAAATGCAGTGGATGAGATGGGCCGGACATGCCCTGGAGCCAACCTCCTGCAGTTCAAAGAGTGATATTAAAGTATTTCTTCTAATTAATTTCCTTTCAATGAGCATGAATCCATGCACTGGACCACTATTACATTAATAAAATTATACAGGTTTCAGGTGTACAATTCTATAATACAATACATCATTGGCTTATTGTATTGTGTGTTCATCACCCTAAGTTCAGTCTCCCTCTATCACATTTTAATCCTCATATTCTTCGAAATTTTACTGATGAATAGAATCCAAAAGTGTGAGAACCACTGATTCAGGCAGAGAAGATGAGAGACGGTATTTAAAAATTTAGTTTGAACAGTACAAAGACTGTAACACATCGAGTAGATATTCATGGAGGGTGGTAGTAGGTTATAACTTCATTTTGGTTTTTTGTGGGGGTTTTTTCATTTTAAGCATATTTTTATTGATTTCAGAGTGGAAGGGAGAGAGGAAGAAATAGAAACATCATTGATGAGAGGGAGTCTTTGATTGGCTGCCTTCCTCACACCCGCTACTGGAGATCGAGCTTGCAACTCCAGTACGTGCCCTAACTGGGATTGAACTGTGACCTCCTGGTTCGTATGTCGATGCTCAACCACTGAGCCACGTCGGTTGGGCTGTAACTTCGTTTTTAAGCCTGATTAAACGGAGGAGGGAAAGCTAAGTATCATTGGCAAAAATATAAGGAGAAGCAGGTTTGGAGAAGAATATGATGAATAAGATTTGAAGTATGCTGATTTTGACATGAGGTGAGGACATTAAAATGTGTTAAGTATAGGAGATGTGGTCCTAGAGTTTAATACCTTGGAGTGGAAGAGAGGGTAGAAGAACACAGAGCACCTATTAAGGGAGAGGTAAAAATAAGCCTAAGGAATCACTAATATTGTGGACTGGGCAATATAAGAAATGTCAATGAGTGAGACAAAGAAGTATCAGACAGTTTCTGCAAACTGTTTTATAAGAGGAGGATTACAGTAGAAGAGGTCCTTAATGCAAAACGGAGATATACCACTAAGAAAGGGTATGTTTAACAGATAGTAGAAAAACATGCTCTGTTTGTTGTTGTTAAATCAAAACCAAATTTCAGGTTTATAGATAAATTTGTCTAACCATTGGGAGGAATAAGCAGTAATTCCCAAAACCAATGTTTTCACATTCTATTCCCACAAAGTGAAAGTAGAAAACCAACGTGCCCTAACAGACGTTGCAGTCCAATTGCCAGTTTTATTAGTTTTCTCTGAAACTTAACTAGGTTCCCCTGAGATAGGTTTGTGTAATTAAAAAGCACTTGGTGAACCCAGGACCTAGCCTAAGCTCTGATTAGTTAGTTACCTTGTGTAACTGTGACTTTGGAAAAAATTTTTATTCCTCTGAACTCACTTTCTATTTCTACACCTGTAAACTGATATGGTCCCTCCCAGCTCTAAAACTCTATAGATAATATAGTCAATGACTGGTACTAGTATAACAGCATTACCACATTATACTTTCATTATGATATACACATACCAAATGACGAACAAATTCAATCTTCAACACTGAATTGAATGCAGAAGTAATAAAAAGCCTCAGAAATATTAGGGTCATCAAATCCCAAACTTGCTTACTTATATTTGAGGTCTTCCTTCAGAGCTTTAATAACTTCTAAAATATAATTTATTTGGGTAAAAAAGGTGAAGGGATTGAGAACTACAAATTGGTAGTCACAAAATAATCCTAAGGATATATAGTATAGGGAATATAGTTGATAATATTTTAATAACTATGTACAGTACCAGGTGGGTACTCAAAATATCAGGGTATCACTTTGTAAAGTATATGATTATCAAACCACTAAGCTGCACATCTAAAACTAACATAAAATAAAATATAATTTATAAAAATTATCACAATAAAACACATTCTAAGCAACACATTAACCTGTATGATTTTATTAACCAATGTCACCCCAATAAATTCAATTAAAAAATAAAACAAAATAGAATGATTTCAAAAGAAATCACAAAACTGAAACCTTCAGAGTGGGAAGGTACCTAATAGATAGTCTAACTCTGGGCTTATCAACCTCAGCATTGACATTTGGGGCCAGTTAATCTTTTATTGTACAGGGCTGTCTCACTAGATGCCAGTAGCATTTCCCATAGAGGTGATGACCAAAACGTCTCCAGACATAATGAAATGTCCCCTATGGGACAAAATAGCCCCTACTGATAACCACTGACCTAATATAATCTGATTTAAAAGGTTAAAGGGAAGTTAAAGCCTCATGGGATAACTATATCATCCATGATTCCACAAATAGTAGCCTAGCCACAAATAGTAGCCTAGCCAAGACTTGAATTCATGTCTCTCAGCTCCTAGTACACTGATCTTCCCACCATGCCCTAAAAGCTAAAACCAATTAAGAACCAAATACAATCTAATAATGATCCAAAATATAATCTATCAGATAAACATACATAAGGTATATTTCGGAGAATCACTACACAGTTTATGTACAGAGAAAAGTTTACAGGCTCTCAGAAAACTGTTTTCATGACATGACGCTTCTCCTTTCCAACAAATCCAATAATGCATCTACTTTCTCACTGCAAGATTTCAAGTAGAATTGTGATGAGATCTATTAATCAAACATGTCCATTCTAAGGTATACATCATTAATCAAAATTATAAATAGCAAGGTTCTATTGCCTACTGGTAGTCAACAGGCAGAATGAGAAATTCTCTGTTCTGTTAAATTGACACATAGAGAAAACCACCATATTCAGAAGCTTTATTTTTTAACTTCCAGAAATCTTAGTTTATATTTGCAACCTGATTATCGTATTTTCCCTTTTAAATATAACAAACAGTTTGGATCATAATGCAAATCTCTCAGCTGAAATAAACAAAAACAAAACTTAAGTGTCTGATAAGTCTCACCTTCCGAGGAAATACCAGGACTGGCCAGAATTAGGATCTGCCTCCAAGGACTTTTGGAGATACTGAATAGCACAGTTTTCCTTGGCAGCTTTATCTCCCAGGAGATCTATAGTGTGATGCATCCAACCTATAGTAAATGAATTAAAATATTTACCTGAATGATTTAACTGTTCTTCTATTGTTAAGAATACCACACAGAAAGCAAATAAAAATATTCTTTTCAGTTAATCAATTCATTTAGTTTGGGATACACACTCCAAAAATTCTGAACTACCAATTCTGGCCACATGAAAGCCTATTTCTCTCAGGAAGGTACAGTCAAAGCTATGAAGAACATTTACTCCAGAGAAATTTAAACAATTTTAAGCACTGACTTGACACAAACTATAGCTCCTAATTTTGGTATCTGAAAAAATTCCAAATTATAAACCAAAAAATACAAAGATGTTAAATTTAACTCACTATTACACATAAAAATTTATGTTCATTGAATCTCCAAAACAGTGTATTAACCCAACATTTATTTCCAAGAAATAAATATATGGCTATACAATCAATGACAGTCCAGAGTAAAACAAACACACGCTACATTATTGGTGTCGGCCAAATATATACACAACTTACACAAAGTAAAAACTATAAAGTATTTGACAATTTAAAATAACCCAAGGTGCCCTAGCCAGTTTGACTCAGTAGCTAGAGCGCTGGCCAGTGGACTGAAGGGTCCCGGGCTCAGTTCTGATCAAAGGGCACGTACCTTGGTGGCAGGCTGGATCCCTGGCCTTGGGTGGGGCTTGTGTGGGAGGCAACCAATTGATGTGTCTCTTTCACATCATTATTTCTCTCTCAGTCTCCCTCCTCCCTTCTACTCTCTCTAGAAATCAATGGAAAAATATCCTCAGGTGAGGATTAACAAAACAAATAAAATAACCCAAAACTATAAGAAAAGTATATCCAAATGGTGCAAAGAATGGTACAAATGGGTACCACAAACATTTAATAAACAAATTTAGGTAGTGCATAATCTCACTTATATGTGAAATCTAATGAACAAAATATACAAACAAGCAAAATAGAAACAGACTCATAGATACAGAGAACGAAGGCCTGGAGTGGGGCAGGGGCTGGGTGGAGGAGGGCAAAGGGGGAGAAAATGGGGGACACCTGTAATATTGTCAACAATAAAAATACATATATTAAAAACATGTTGTATAACTTTAAAAATATAATTTTTATTATTTATAAATAAATAAAAGACTGCATCATAGAGTAGTGTACTCTAAACCATGAAAGACACACAGAAATAATTTGGTTTAATTTGTTGGGGAATTCTATTTCAGTTGTGGATCAATCCAAGTGCATAATACCACTCTGTTCTTTGTGTGTAGACTACAGTATGTATAACAAATAAAGACACTTATTTTCTGACATTTATTATAGTTGCTGTGCTGCAAAAGATATTTTAAGAGGACTGAGTCACTGTGTTTTATGGAAATATAAGCCAATCACATGATTAGTCATTCGTTCCTCCCTTATCTCTCCTGCAACTATTAAGAACAGGACTTAGAATAATAGGCTCTAAAAGGAGCTGCTTAAGCAGCAGGAACAAGTAAGTAGAAAGGATTAATGTTTAGGCATAAATTAGACTCAATTAAGGGAAATATTTTTCCTTTTAAAACCTTGAAAAGTTTACTTATAAGCCAGTGCCAAAGAGGATAGGTCAGTGGTCGGCAAACTCATTAGCCAACAGAGCCAAATATCAACAGTACAACGACTGAAATTTCTTTTGAGAGCCACATTTTTTAAACTTAAACTATATAGGTAGGTACACTGGTATTAACTTAATTAGGGTACTCCTAAGCTGGCCTTTGCTAAAAACGTCCTCAATCTGAGGGGTTGACCTCAGCGAATGTACCCCCACTTCTTCTAACGCCACTTCTTCAAAATAGACTCGCCCAGGCCGAAAACCGCCTTCTGCGCATGGGCCACGAAGTTTCAATAGCACTGTACGTGCGCGCCCGCATGTGGTATTTTGTGGAAGAGCCACACTCAAGGGGCCAGAGAGCCGCATGTGGCTCACGAGCTGCGGTTTGCCGACCACTGGGATAGGTGATTCAGATATAACTAAAACCAAAATTGTTTCAATGCATTTCTTAAATTAAAAAGCTGTATGCATTTATGCTATTGATGCCTTCTTTACAACAGCTAAAATACATAAAAACTTAATTATCAATAGTGTAGATAAAAAAGCAGTTCAAATTAAAATTTTAGCTGAATGAGTAAACTGTCTATTCGAAAGGCATCACTTTGTACTTAAGAACACAAAACCCTTTTTTATTGTAGCAATAAACTTGTTTATGTTTAAAGATAAAAATTCACACTACTCAAATACTACATATAAATCATTAAAAACAAATATTTAAATACTTCTACAATTTTTAAGACTATGAATAACTCAAGTAAAATTCTAACTAGAGATTAAATGAAAAACAAAACTTTTATATGAAGGCAATGTATTTATTTTGTATAATAATCATACAATATAAGTGATAAAATTAAACAAATTTAAAATTACATGTCACATTATGAAGACATTCATATTACTATCTTGAATAAGAATAAATTATTTGTCCAGACCAAAAACAAGCAAACAAAAGCTTAAAAATTAAAATAATCCAAATACCAAATACAGACAAAAAACATAATGACCAAACAACAAAATTAAATGTTGGAGAACTCCATTACCACCTTCTTGGTAACAGTGACACATTACATGCAAATGGATACATTCCTTCATCTTTGACATTAGAATATACTGCATGTGTACAAAAACTATATGTAGTGTTAGATATTCCACAATTTTTAGATAAAAAGTTTTCGCTAATATTACCGACAGAACTATGAAAGCAAGCTCACCAAAACAGTGTCTGTAAACAAATCATTTAATTTCAATGAGTGCGAAGCACATCTGACATAAAGAAAGTGTTCAATGCCCCTCGCCCATGGATTAAGTACTAGAGAGTAAGTTTGAGAATTTAAAAGGAATAGCTGCACTAATGAATTGTAATGAGATGGACTGTGAAACGGACTATGGTTGGCAAAGAGTGAAAATATGTTGGATTCAGCCCAGCCGGTGTGGCTCAGTGGTTGAGCATCAACCCATGAACCAGGTCACGGTTCAATTCCCAGTCAGGGCATATGCCTGGGCTATGGGCTTGATCTTCAGTGTGGGGCATGCATGAAGCAGCCAATCAATGATTCTCTCTCATCACTGATGTTTCTATCTCTCCCTCTCCCTCCCCCTCTGAATATCAATAAGTAAATATTTTGGGAAGGAAGGAAGGGAGGGATGGAGGGAGGGAGGGAAATATACTGGGTTCAAATTAATTCTATCAACTCTGAGCAAAGGATGGGAAAGAAATAGAATACACGAGCCACATATTTACCATCCCTGACATGTAAAAAACATAAAGAGAAGTACTTATAATATACTAAATGTATACTAATACATACCTAACTGTTGCAAAACAGTTGCTTTTACTTGTGCAGAAAGGTTTTCTGTCTGCAAAAGTTGTTCATAAGCTTCCTTTGCAGAATGATACTTCCTCTAAAGGCAGAAAAAATGATTTAAAGAAAAATAAGTATCTTTCAAGAACCAGGTCATATATATTAAGATTTACACAATACTGGTATTTTATACATATTTTTAAACCAACTGAAAGAAAAAGAACTAATTCCATTACTAAATGTTACTTCAACACTAGACAATTGTGGTTCATGCTTCAGAGTACGTAAAACATTTAATAAAGTAGCACTAATATATGACCTTTTAAGTATTTCCCAAATCTCAATACTTAAAAAAAGAAAACCATCTTAACCTATTTAATAACATACATGATTTCAACTTTGTTTGCCTAGAAATACCAAGTTCCCAAGCAACTTAATATGAACAATAGGACACATGACAAAATGCTTTGCACATGACAAAATGCTTTACAAATTCTAAGTGTAAAAGCAGTTAAAAACTAAGTTTAAAAGACAGTCACCAGCATATATATATATATATATATACACACACACACATATATACACATATATACATATATTTAAAAAAACCTATAAAAATGTATAATACATATGATATTAAAGACACCAAATTTCCCATAGTTACAGTTTGTAATATTTAAGGTTCCATAGGCAAATTTCTAAATGAAACCATTGATCCACAGTTTTCTCCCCAAAGTACTGGTATGACTGAAACCCATCACTGCTAGTCATAAAGCTTAAGGTAACTCCTCAAGAAAGGGGAAATGAAAAGCCAATAAAGAAAACCTCATAAATATTACCTTTAAAACATACTTGACAAAAAAATATTGGAACGAAGTGGCATTTTTCATACCACTAATAGTACACAGCTGCTTGAGCAAACAAATCTTTCTCCAGAAAAGTATGATCAAATAGAAAACTAGCTGTGTGAGCCTCAGGCAAATCACTTAAACTATAATTCAACATCCAAAGAACAGAGGTAATGCCTGATCTTTCTATCTAGAGTTGTTCTAACGATCAAATGAGATAAGTAAAAAGCTACAGAAACAAATAAGGAACAATATAAATACAGTATGTCAACATGCAGAAGATTTGAAAGAACTGTCTATTATTACAGCTAAATTAGTTCCCCCTAAACATTAATCTGGTCTGAAAGAGTTAATTAGACAGTTAATGAAGGACAAAGACCAAATTATTCAACCAACTTCCTTCCACTGATAAATATTTACTGAACACCTAGTACATAACAGGAACTGCTGGGACTATAGTGTAGTGAAGAATACAGAGAGGAAAGCGAGTAAAACATGCTGTATTATGTACAATAACAGTATGGTATCTCCCAGAGGAAGAAAGTTAAGATTATTTGTTTATTTTTAGTCCTTGACCAAAGATATGTTTTTATTTATTTTTAGAGAGTGAGGAAGGGAGAGAGAGAAACATCAATCGGTTTCCTCCCCTACGTACCCTAACCGGAGGATCAAACCCACAACTTAGGTATATGCCCTGAGAATCAAACCCACAACCGTTTTGGTTTATGGGACGACCTTCCAATCAATTGAGCCACCCGGCTAGGACAAAACACGTGTTTAGAGTACTAGCAGGGTGGGCAGCAAATACAGAGATAAGCAAATATGACTTCACAGAGAACTTCCTAAACCATGTTAAAGACTATATAGACTGTATCTTGGGACAATGGAGTACCACTGAAATGAATTCAAGCAATATGATCAGATTTATATTTTAGGAAGACTGCTTTTTGGAATTACCTTAATAAATGATAAAACATACCTTCAAAAACTAAGAAAAAATACTTGAAAAACTGGTAGAATATTGAGAAACATGAAGTTAGATTTCTATCTTATACCACATACAAAAAAACTGGTAACTGCATTAAGGACCTAAATATGAAAGGTAAAAGAATAAAACTAAGAGATGAAAATGTCAGAGAATATTTCCTTGAAATGAGAAAGAACTTATTTGACGTGACCAAAACAGCACAAATCACAAGGAAGACTAAAGTTCTACTTGAAACACATAAGCAGAAAAATAGTCAATGGACATAAAAACACATAAAAGCTGAAAAAGATGTGAAGTGTGTATCTCTAGAAAACAGAAAATGCAAGTTTAAACAAGAGACTACCTTCTACCCATCAGACTGACAAACATAAGAAAGTTGGGTTAATTTCAAGTACTGTGGGAATGTCAGTAAAAACAGAACAAAAAAACTCCCTCTAATGACCTCCAGGAAGAGGACTTACTCATGAAATTATGTCTGCAAATATGCTATAATCAATCTCACTCTTGGGACACATATGCCAAAGGAACCTTCCCATAAGTAATGTCCTAAATGGCACTGTTTATCGTATCAGGGATTTGGACAACCTGAAAATGAACACTCTGCCCTGGCCAGTTTCCTCAGTGGCTAGAGCATCTGCCCTCAGACCCTGTAGGAGGCAACCAATTGATTTGTCTCTCTCACATTGATGTTTCTCTCTCTGTCTCTCCCTCTCCCTCCCACTCTCTCTAAAAACCAATGAAAAAAATATTCTTAGGTGAGAATAAAAATAAAAAAGGAAAAAAGAAAGAAAATGAACATCCTTATTATAAACACCAAGTAGAGGTTTTTCAAATGAAAGAATCAATTGGGGAGGAGGGGTGTTGTTCCCATATTACCTTCACAAAATTAACACCAACAGACAACTTCTCATCAGAAACAATGAAAGCCAAAAAACAATGAAATGTAAATTTCAAAGTTGTTAAATAAAACCAAATTCTATTTCTAGCAAAAACACTCATTAAAAAGAAAGGTGAAACCTAGCTGGTTTTGCTCAGTGGATAGAGCATCGCCTGTGGACTGAAGGATCTGGGCTGGATTCCGGTCAAGGGCCAGTAGGGGGCATGCAGGAGGCAGCCAATC